AGCTCCTTGTAAATCTCACTTGGAATGGAAAAAAATTCAGCCAAAAGTCATGCCTTCAGAGAAGATATTAGGAAATAACACACAGTAGTGTTTATTGTTTTATGAACAAAAATAATATAGGTAAGGAATCTACTTCTTCAGTCTCAGGCAAAACTAAAATGCAGAAATTGCTAGCATTCATCTCAATTAGAAATGTAGTTTGTTTTTTTTTGGGGGGGGGTTGTAACACCAACCACGAAGTTATCAACCCCTTCTTACATTTTTTCAGCTTCTCAGACTATGTGGGCCTGCCTTCTTGAACCATTTGACTATTAGGCCAATTGATTTCAGGCTCAAGTGTGTACCCTGTGTACAAAGCAGTTTGAACAATGAGAATATTGGAACTAATTATGCCAACCTATGGAACCTAAATTCAAGCTAAAAATGGAGGCAAGTTTTTCCCCTCAGTTAAAGTTTGGAGGTTTGCAAGAGGGAATGACATTAACTATCAACATAATAGTTCAACAAGATGGGACACAAATAGACTGGGAGCCGGGAGCATGGGTATAGCTCAGCACAGGCTTGAGTTTTAATGATGAGAAAGAAGGGGTGCCTAAGAGGCTAACACAGGAAGGACTTTCCAGAAGGAAAGGAAGTTTGTTCTTGTACAAACTACAAGAACATGAGGTAACTGAGTGTATTCATCATGAAAAGATGGGAGCCTGGAGAACAGATCCCACATGAGCAGAGTATGGGTGACAAAAAAAAAAAAAAACAACTTTCTGACATCTATTTACATACTATGTGGCTCAGACATGTGTGCCCAGGCTCAACTTGAGCCAAATGGAAGGTAAATCACTCAAAATGGCTGTGTTAGAGGACCCACGTAATACTCCATAATGGCTTCCACTTCTTGGCTACTCTAAGGACTTATGAAGTATGACTGAGATGTAGATGGCAGAGGGAATTAAGTGTCAAGGCAGCACTTTGAAGCATGATAATGTACCTGAATTTAGTTTATCTGATTTCAAATAAAGCTGTCACATACCAGTCATGTGACTTAGGTAAGTCATTTAAAGGCACTGGATTTCAATTTGCCCATTTAGAAAGCTAATACTACGCCTCTTATCTACTTCATATGGTACCTATAAAACACTAGAGCATAGCTTGGGAAAGAATGGATGTTGAAAGATTGTCATGCACCACTTAAAAAAGGTATGCTTTTAAAGACAGTTACAATAGTAGAACAAGGGAACGAAGCAGAAATAGAGACAGGAACAGAAGAGTGTGATCTAGAAACCATGAAAGAGATTGCAGTAGAAGCAAGGAGTACTATAGATACAGAGAAGAGGAAGGTCATGAAGCTGAGAAAGAAGAACATCACCAGGAAGATCAAGAAGTAAAGATAGAAGGAGGAGGAGGAAGAGCAGAAGGAGGAGGTGGAGGAAGAGGAGGAGGAGGAAAAGGAGGAGGAGGAGGAGGAAGAGGAGAGATTCACCGAGCTCAGAGAGAAAAGAAAGTCAAAGCAAAAACAAAGAAAAATATAGAAACCAAGAAAGTAGGAGTTCATACAGGAAAGAAAATGCTGAGAGTAAGAAAAGAATGTACTCTAAAAATTGTGAATAATAACATGAAAAAAGCTGATAGAGATCAAAGTTCATTATCAAAAAGAAAACAGAGCAGTAAGAACAATGAATTAAAGTCCTCTGCACTGAAAAATACGGAGGATGAAAAGACAAGACTCTCAGTGGAAAAAGAAAACCAAAAATCAAAGGGTCAAGAAAATGACCATATACATAATAAAAAATTAAAAAAATTGATCATGAATCAAGTCCTGGAACAGATGAAGACAAAGTGGATGAATGAGTTGTATAAATTTACTGTCTCAAATTTTAAGTTTTAGAGACTTGATGAATACCTTTTATATTGTTTTCATTGTTTGAGTTGTTTTCTGTTTTTCTTTATTTTTTGATGTGTACTTCATTGAGCTGATCTTTTGATAATTTGCAACCTGGATAATTTGTGCTGCTAATGTTTCAATAAACTTGAAATGAGAAAAAAAAAGTATGCTTTTGCCAGATACTGGTGGCTCATGCATGTAATCCTAGCTACTGGGGAGGCTGAGATCTGAGAATCACGGTTCATTGCCAGCCCAGTCAGGAAAGTCCATGAGATTCTTATCTCCAATAAACCACCAGAAAAAGCGGAAGTGGTGCTGTGGCTGAAGTGGTAGAGCACTAGTTTTGAGCTGAAGAGCTGATGGACAGTGCCCAGGCCCAGAGTTCAAGCCCTACAACTGACCAAAAAAAGTATGCTTTTGGTACAAAATTCAAAAGTGTACACCTTCTCAAACCAAAACAATAGAGGTCATTCACTAGATATTGTCTTATAAATTGGGGTAGATTTTATTAAAATGAGTCAACACAGCACAATAAGTACACAAACCAATAATATAGTCATTTATTACTAGGTCTTATATAGTAGTATGGATTGCACCTCACTATATGAGCTACTTTTTTATTCAGCTGATAGCACAAGTTTGCTTGCACGAGCATCACTACAGTCATGTAAAAGTGTGTGGGGGTACCCCCCCATACTGTGATGATTACAATATCCTTAGGCTATGAAGATTTCTCAATTTTGTTAAAATTGTCAGGATCACCATTATGTATGTTGTCCTAGCTGAAGTGTAGTATCATTATGTATGATGGTATTATACATGATGGTTTTAGACAATTATTTTCTGTTTTATTAAATAATAATTCTGATTACTTTGTGATAAGCATCTTAAAACATACACACATTTGATGTGCATTTCAAATATTCACAGAATTTATAGAGAGGGAAATTTGCTAAGAATGGGGCTTATCTCCTTCTGAAACAGATTGAGATGTGTTTTTTTATCTATTAGAGACCTCCTTTCAATGGATGAATGGCTTAAGAAAATGTGATATTGATTATATGGATTGATATAGATATGGATGTTACAGAGACAGACAGACATCTGTCTAGATACATACATACATACATAGAAAGGAATTTTACAAAACCAGTAGGAAGAATAATATTTTGTCATTTGTAGGGAAATGGGTGAAGGATGAACCTGGAAAAATAATCACATTATGTGAAGAAAATCAGACACAGAAAAAGGACACATATTTTCTCTCATATGTAGAAGTCAGATCTAAATTATAAATAGTTACAAAAATATTTACAGGATCCTCTATATACACATATTAACTTAATGTGATATATATGTATATAGTCACACCCTCACATCTTGACTTATATAAACAGATTTACTTAAGTATATGCAGGCAAGATTCCAGTGGTGTAACTCCCTTTACACAACTAACCCACAGTTTAATAAAATGAATACCAGAAAGTTGGAACTTGTGGTGTCTGGGGGGGTTGGGGGTGAGGAGATGGTGAGGTCAACAGGCGGGGAGCAGACAAACAGAGATAGAAAGGGTAGGGGGATGCAGCCATAATAACCCAGGTGTATATGTGAAAACAACACCAGGAAAATTGCGGGGATGAGTGGTGTTAGGAGGGAAGGGAGCGAAGGAAAAAAGGGTGACACGGATCAAGATGCATTCTATTCACCAACTGGCATGTTGAATTGAATCCCATTTGTACACTTACTTAAAGACATTTTAAAAATTAAGAAAAATAAATCTCTGAGTAAGCAAGCAGCAAAAGTTCTGCAAAATCATTTGCAGTTTTATGAAAGAAATAAAGCCAGTTTCTAATTGCTAAGTAAATTCCCCATGGAGAAGTTCAGAAATACAATCCTGTATGACAGCAGAGTATCAGGAGGCAATTGCCCTAGATGACAGGAAACAATAAGCATTACTGTATTACGGTCAGCTTTTCCATAGGCACATCCACACACACACACACACACACACACACACACACACACACACACACACACACACAACAGAGGGGCTACTTACAGCTTTATCAAGCATCTGCTGCTCTCATTAAAGCTAACAAGGGGAAGCTGGCAGATAAAACACCTATTAACACAGAGCCCGCCATTAGTACTGGCTTCCCAGAACCATTTAACTGCAATAAGAGTCTCTTGTGGAGCAGTCAGTTATCTGTGCTTTGTTAAGACAGGATACAGGGTCTGAACAAGGAGGAGGTAGAGCTTCTGTTGTAATTTCACTTGAAATTGCAGAGCATAAATGAGAAACAAGAGTTTGAAGTATGACCAGAAGAGCACAGAGAATGACTTTCCATGGGCTGTTGAAGGCAATGGCTATTAGTTTTGTCTCTTGTGACTCCTAGGAAGTTCTGTCTCCTACAGGTTCTGCTTGAAAATACATCACATAATCCACATTTCTCTGCTTCTTGCTTAGAATCCAGAACTCCAGGAAGCATCTCAGACAAAGAGATGGTAAAAGCCCATCTTCAGCATGTGTCTTTTGGCAGTTCCCAATGGGGAATGTTTTCTGAGCTCTCTAACAAGGTTGTTATTTTGCTTTTCTGATTATGGATTGCATTAAGGGTAGTGGCAGTTTACTTTTGCATCTTGGTTCCTTCTGCTTCTCCATTTGCTCTCATACGGCGAAGTGAGGGAGCTTGGAGTTCCTAAGTTCATATTATTCCTTCATTCTCCTGAGGATACTCAGAAAAGGAGCCTCTGACAGGAATCTGTCAGCCCACTCACCAGGAAGCCATCCATTCCAATAACTCCCCAATTCCACACATGCTCTGTGGCCCCTCCTCTCCCCTGCAAGCCTAGTAAAGATATTTGTTCATGACTCTAAACTCACAGTTCAATGCATGCAAAATGATGCTATTTGAATTTAATACCTTCCACATGATATCCTCACCAAAACATGCTTTACATATATAATGGCTATAGGACACACACACTTTTAACATGAGAAAATGTCTTCCTGTAAAGTTTATCAGCTACTATGACTCCTATTTTCAGGAGGAAGAGTGCTACCTGGGGACAGATCTGTAGGCCTTGCATTCTTTTCTTCAGGTAAACCAAGGACACTTACCTCCAGGCTGCACTGCTTTGGAATCCCGCGTAAACTGCAGTAGTAATGGAGATGTTCCCAACCGGTCAAGAGGTCATCCAAAGCATCTTGCTGTGGACAGTAGCCAATGAGGACACCCACCTCTCCCGCAGAAGACAGATCGACCTCATCTCTGTGAAGACAAGCAGAGCAGGCTGAGAACAGACTTCCATCGCATAAATTAGTCTTGTCAATTAAAAAGTCCATTGCAATTTATTTAATATAATTATTTCACATTTCACAAATAGGTTCCATGCTTCCTCCCAAGAATTTGTCAAGAATTTGTCCTCAACCCAGAGTCCCTTTCTTTTCATTCACCCTGATGGTACATATGCCTCATCACCTGGTTGGTTCAGTGTTAATGCTTCAAATGTGTGTGTGTGTGTGTGTGTGTGTGTGTGTGTGTGTGTGTAAATTGACATTCTCATATACAAAATCATTTTTCTCAGTTTTTTTTCTTTTGCAGGGAGATTTAACAAAACAAAACAAGAACAAGAACAAAAACTTCTGGCTCCCAGTCGCAACCCACATACCCAGCAGAACAAACTTAGTTCTTAAACCAGGGGCTTGGAGTTAATATCAGTAACTCCATGATACTTTGGTGGTTAATATAATATATAGAATATAGCATAGCAACATCACATAATATAATGTGTATTTAAAGCACAGAGCTTCACAGTTAGCAAATTATGTGTGCTTAATAAATTGTATCACAAACAGGCATTAATCATGGCCCAGGTCTATAATCACAGCTACAAAGAAGTCTAAAATGTGAGGACTGCAGTTTGGATTCATCTCAGGCAGACAAATCCATAAGAATTTCTCCTTCAAATAAACAGGAAAAAGCAAAACCTAGACATGTGAGTCAAGTGGTAGAGTCCCAGTTGCCAGTGAAAAAGCTAAGCAAGAGTACCAAGCTCTGAGTTCAAGTCCTAGTACAGGAAAGAAAAAGAACGAAGAAGAAAGAAAGAAAGAAAGAAAGAAAGAAAGAAAGAAAGAAAGAAAGAAAGAAAGAAAGAAAGAAAGAAAGAAAGAAAGAAAGAAAGAAAGAAAGAGAAAGGAAGGAAGGAAGGAAGGACGGAACGAAGGAAGAAAGAAAGGAAGGAAGGAAGAAAGAAAGAAAGAAAGAAAGAAAGAAAGAAAGAAAGAAAGAAAGAAAGAAAGAAAGAAAGAAAAGAAGAAAGAAAGAAAGAAGGGAGGGAGGGAGGGAGGGAGGGAGCAAGAGATAGAGAGAAAAGAGAAGGAAAGAAGGGAGAAAGGGACAGAGGGAAATAAGAAAGAGAAAAGGAGCTACAATAGTTGTTATTTTTCCTAACAAAACAATTTATGAAAAACTAATGTAACAATTCTTAAGACAATAACTTGGTTTCAGGTTATTTTGAAGATTAAATATTGTTATGATAATTAATCTCTCACTGACAATATGGAAAAGAACAGAAGAAAAACTAATGAGTACGATTCTCGGTGGTTTCTACCATTAAAGTTCAGTGTTAATCTCTCAAGTGGTCATGCTATACAGATAGAGCAAGGATTTACACTAAATCAAACTGATTCAAAGAAAAAAAAAAACTATGGTTTCATTTCACATTTAATTTTTTTTCTTTTTTTTTCCTTTTTTTAATTGTGAAAATACTGTACAGAGGGGTTATAATTACATGGGCAAGATAATGAGTACATTTCTTATCAAGCATTGTAGCCTCCTCCTTTGTTTCCCCTTCCCATTCCTTCCCATCCTCCCCCCGCCCCCCCAGTCATCCCACTCCCCCCATCTCACCCCCCTCCCCCACACCAAAGTTGTAAAGTTTGTTTTCGACATTAACGACTTGTACATTTCATTGTTACAATGGGTCCACCTGTATCCCTATTTAAACACATTTAATGTTAATACATACTCACCTGAGAAAATTCAAAACTATCCAAATATGAACAAATTTAAAATTTTGATTATTTTCTCACTATTGTTTGCAGACATTTTATATGGATAAAACCACTTTGACCATGAAGATTCTTTTTTTGTAATTGTGAAAATACTGTACAGAGGGGTTACAATTACATGGACAAGATGAGTACATTTCTTATCAAGCATTGTAGCCTCCTCCTTTGTTTCCCCTTCCCATCCCTTCCTATCCTCCCCCCACCCCCCATCCAATCCTGCCTTCCCACCATGAAGATTCTTAAGGACACTTCAGGAAGGAAATTTCTTATTCCTACATAGAAAATAATAGTTTAAAAATGATGATAAATATTGACTCCTACAGATAATTATTGGTATTTGTTTTGAAAACCTCTAAGTATTAGTATTACCTTCACCCAAAACAGAAATGTGTACATGGATATAAGCAAAATACAAAATAAAAAATTCCTTCATGTAAATTTTTAAGTTCTCCACTGCTTAGTACAAGAAGATACGCAAGCTACATGTATAGAAAATATACTCAATAAAGTAATAGAAAGTTTCCTGACTAATGGTTCCTGACTTGGTTATCCAAGTACAGAGGGGTCCTCAAACACTTCTCCATGTCACATACAAGTGAGACATAAAAGTATAGAGCCCAAGTAAGAACAGTAAAAACTGCAAGAGAAAAGTACCAAGTCACGTGTAAAGTCAAATCCATCAGAATAACAGTAGATGTCTTTCCACAGACACTCTAAAAGCCAAGAGAGAATCTGGAGAGAAAAATAATTGCCAATTTAGATTACTGAAACTAATAAAACTACTCTTCATAAGTGAAGGACAAATACCTTTCAAACTAAAGAATTCATGACCACTAAAGCTAGCACTGAGAAGATACTTAAAGATCTTTTACACAGAAGAGTAAATAAAACAAGAACACAAGAAAAGATAAAATTTACCTGAGGAGCACCTTAAGCAGATGAGAATTTGGAAAGAATCAAACAATACAAAGAGAGTAAAATAAAAGAGATCACTACATACCCTTAAATAATAACTCAAATGCTACTTACCTCAGTTTTCTAATTAAAAGATGCAAATAGGTAGACTAGGTTCAAAATAATAAAGACTTAACCATGTTTTTTTGTTGCTGTTGTTTATTTTCTTTCTTTTTGTTGTATACAAGAAACATCTTAAACTGGAATCCACACTTACAGACTCCAAGTAAAAGTATTGAAAATATATATTCCAGATAAAAGAAGCCAAATACCCATATTTCAAAGCAAAATTAATCAGAAGAGACAAAATGTTACTAAATAAGAGACTATAGCAATTGTATATGTAATAGCACCCAATGTCAATGTGCCTAATTTTACAAAACAAAGAGTACTAGTCATAAAAGTATAGATAGATACCAACACAGCAATTCAGGGTGTGACTTCAATTCCACAACCTCACTAGTGGAATAAGTCATCAAGACACTTCAGAATTAAATGATATTATAAATCAAATAGACTTAATAGCCATCTACAAAATACTCCATTCAAAGTCTGTATAATACAGCTCATGGAACTTTCTTTAAAATAAATCATATTTGAGGACATGAAGCAAGTCTTAACAAATAAAAAAAAGATAAATTAACCTTGTATGTTTTATCAGACCACAATGATATAAAACTATAAATCAACAGCAAGAGACAGTACCCTACTCTTCCTTAGCCAGTGAGTCATTGAAGAAATAACAGACAAAATAAAACTTAATCCTAGAAGGAAATGAAAATTGAAACACAGCAAACCAGAATCTATGAAATACAAACAAAGTGGCTCTAAGAGTGAAGTTTATTACTATTTATGACTACATTTAAAAAATCAGAAATCTGGGGCTGGGAAGGTGGCTCAGTGGTAGAGTGCTTGCCTTGCATGCCTGAGGCCCTGGGTTCAATTCCTCAGCACCACATAATCAGTGCTAGCCTTGAGCTGAAGAGCTGAGGGACAACACTCAGGCCCCATGACTGACAAAAAAAAGTGATATGTGTGTGTGTGTATATCTATAATGTGTGTGTGTGTGTGTGTGTGTGTGTGTGTGTGTGTGTGTGTGTGTGTGTGTGTGTGTAGGGAGAGAAGAGGCGATACTGTTCAAAAATAATGTACTCATTACCTGACTAATATAACCGCAATCCCTCTGTACACATCAACTTCACAATATCAATAAAAATATTTTTTAAAAAGAAATAAACCAGTCTTACAAATACAAGGTTTCCCTCATTTGTGACAATTAGAGGGAATCAAATCAAAGCAAAACAAATCAAGTAATTAAAGATTAATGGGGGCTACTAATGAAGGCAAAATGGAAGATAAAAAGGAAAGAGGATAGAGGGGACAAAGAACAAGTAAACCAAGAGAATGAAAAAGACCAAACTATATTCTGTTAACGGAGTATCATGACTATGCCACTGACTATTCACATTTCAGTATAGGACAACAAAAATTGACTGAGTAAATGTAAAGACTGAATTAGGCAAAGAGTCAGATGTATATTGCAGGAAAACTAATGACAAATGTTGATACACAGAGAGAGAAGATAGCCAATTATAAAGTAAGGAGAGAAGCCTTAAATCATTTAGAGCCTCAGAGAGGACAAATTCTTATGCGTCCTTGATTTCACACTTCTGGTCCTCAGAACTGTGAAAAAAATAACAAATTTCTGTTGTTTAAGCCACCCAGTCTGTAGCATACTTTGAAGCAGCCCTTACAATGTCATACACAGTAACTAGAACACATACTATTAAATAGAACAAAGTGAAAAGCAAACAACACAGAAATTTCACAAAGGTCGCAGCTAATAGAGATATTAGAGATATCCAACATAGATTTTAACATAATGAATTTAAAGCCAGGCATAGTAGGGCATGCATAACTTATGTCAGTTCTTGGAAGGCTGAGGCAGGAGGAGCAACCATTCAAGGCCAGGCTGAACTATGTAAACAGATCCAGTCAAAAAGATAAGAAATGTACTCATTCCCTTGCTCGTGTAATTGTAACCCTTCTGTATGGTATTTTCACAATACAAAATCTTATTAATAATAAAAAAGAAAGAAAAGGAGGAGAGAGGAAGGGAGGGAAGGAGTGTTCAGGGGAAGAGAGTAAATGAGAGGGGAGTAGGAGATAGAAGCAGGTAAAGTGAGCAGAAGGGAGGGGAAAGGAGAAAAAGAGGGAAGAGAGTACAGAAGAATAAGAAAAAGA